TGTATGTGTGTGTGTGTGTGTGGTAATACCTCCCCCTCCCCTAATTCCGAAATCCTCTTAAAGCCTTTAGCGGTGTGTTATTGTAAAAGTTATCACAGCTGGACTGCTTATCATTTTCCATATCAAATATCCTCTTTTCTTTCTCCTTTATTGTGGTGGTAGGTCTGGAAGGCGAACGTTCCAACTGACCTGTCTCTGTCTAGCACGGAGTCAAAGACATGGAAAAAGCGATATGTAGTCTGGAATAACATGCATTAATCATTATATAGTCCACTCAACCTACAACACCGGATTTTGTGGTGTAGCATTTAGACTCTTCGCCGTCGCTCAAAGAAGACCTGAGTTTGATTCCCTTGTGGGGAGAATTTTTAATGGCTGGTTTTTCTGCTGGGATGCTGTATCTCTCTCAGCTCAGGTTGGCCCCTGGCAGGCAGGGTCAAAGCCCGCCTTTAAAATGACATAAATTGTGTCGATGGGAGTGTAAAACACCCTAAATGTAAAATGAAAAAGAACCAGCCCCAAAACCCCCCCCAACTTACCACAAGTTGTACTGTGGGTAGCGGAATGCATGGTTTAGAACCCTGACTCGACTCTATCCTTTATATAATATATTCAACTCTTTCTTTCTCTTGATTTTTTTGGGGTAAAAATAATTATGACTATGTCTAACATATATTTTCTTTGACATAAACTATTAAACCATACTATTCCTTTCCTGACAATTTCTGTAGCTGACAGTGTAATTTCAAAAAGGCCTGTGTGCATTTTCAAAAGTGCTTCTAAATTCATTTCTGGCGGATGAAAGCTGCTGAATTGACCTGACGGAAAAGAAATGACTCTAACGAATTCCAGCACAAAATCTGTCTGTATTCCCTGATACTTTCAGTTTTTCTCTTCTACGTGTTATTTTTAGCTCCCTTTTACTTTCCATCACGATCTGATATTGGTGCTTCACATTAACAACAACAACAGCAACAACTACAACAACAACAACAACAACAACAACAACAACAACAACACTACCACCACCACCACCACCACCGACAACAACATCAGCAGGAAATAAAACAACCAACCACAACCTCAATAACAATCTATTTCACCTTCCGCAGATCACCTGGAAAGAAAAAGAAGGCAACATCGCCAGAACCGAAAGCCCCGCCCACCGATGACGTAGAATCTGAACGCTCCACCCCATCCCCGTCCCCACCATGGAGGTGCTGGGTGGACGACGCGACAGTGTCGAGCATCGCCGCCCCATCAGAACCCGAGGCAGCAGCAGAAGACGGCCTCTCACCCTCCCCGTCTCCAGCTTTATTAGAAGGACCCGGCCAAACACTGCCTGGAAAACCCGCCACAAAAGGGAGTCCCGATACAGCGGCTCTCGCCTCAAAGACCCAGAGCAAGTTGGACGCCAAAACCGCCACAGCTCTCTCGGCGGAAAAACCGCCAAGTCCCAGCCCGGCGGAGACGCCTCTTGGGAAGAAGAAAGCCTCGGCTAAAGGAAGGAGAAGGAAGGAACCGGAACCAGTAGAGCTGCCGGAACCACCGCCACCGGTGGAAGAAGTCAAGGAGGAGGCAGAGGTGGAAGAGGTTACGGTGGAGGTGGTGGAGGAAGAGGTGGAGCCAGTTCTTCCTCTCAGCATATGTCCCAGCTCTGAGGGAAAATCCCACCAAGCAGAAGTGAAGCTCTGGCTCAGAAAATCGCCATTTTCGGCAGCTAGCAGAAGTGTACCAATATATTGGTCTTAGGATCACGCACTTATTTTCTTGTTGTTATTGACAATTATGTTTTACTTTACAGTAACAACTAATGGCACAAAAACAGTTTTTCATTGCAAATCTCTCACCGAAAACGCTTCTGTTATAGGAAAAAAGAAACACTTTCTTTGAGTACAATTTTTTTTTCGACTGCATAAACGTTCCATGACTCTACGATTAGTAGGCCATGGCATTCTGTAACCTCTTCCTAAATCAGTTTTACAGAGTTGAGAATGATAGTACATGTACAGAAATTAACGTTTGTGCTAGTCCAAGTTGATTTTTGACAGGTCAAAGAGAACAGAGAGATGGAGAAATCCCCGTTGTCTTTTAGACCTGACTGTCTTTCCTTTGGTCTTTAATCATGTAACTTTGACTGAAAAACATACGTCACACATCCAAAAGAAATGGAATTGTGTTAAAAGAGAGGGAAAAAGGTAACCCTTCCCATCATGTCTATTTGTTTTTGGTTTCTGAAGAAGAAGACCCGTAACTAGCTTGATAGTCTATTTTGCAACACCCCAAAGCTGAATTACGCATGGATGCAAAACGGTTCCTTCCACAAAGTCACTAAAAGAGCATAATTTTGCGGATAAAAATTATCAACGACTATGTTTTGATGCCCTACTATGATTTCTCATTACAGCCTACGCCTTCTTATGGACTTCTATGCTCCATCCCTCCCCCC